TTATTTTTTATTTTGTATTATATATTTTCTTTAATTTTACTTTTCTTTATTTGTAATTTATTTTTTTGATTGTATGACTTTTTTAAAGAAATGCATTGACTTTATTTACTCTTACTTTGCCCTTTATTTATTGTTATTTATTTTGTATAGGAAGAGTCCTTCAATTTGTTAAATGTTTAAATTATGTTGTTGTACAATAACAGATAAGTGATATATAATTGACGTTTACGTCAATTTATAGAGGTGCTTGATATTTATGACCATAGATAGAGACTGTATCAGATCTATAGATTATATCATCAACCAGACAAAAAATAGAATTTGCAAATGGAATGGATGGACTATAGCAAGGACTATATTTCAACCAGCACTTTTCGAAATCAAACGAAGAAAATGTGAAGAACTTTGATATTAACGTAAGATTAAATTTTAACGTTTCCTAGATATTAGTGTAAATCTCAGTTAAATCCTAATCATGCTCGTACACGAGGAACACACTTAATTTTTTTATTATTTTGATGATGCTCGAGAAGAAGGGAATGCTCGGCATGACTAATACCTGTCCTCCATAAGACTGGCCGTCGACGAAGGGCCACGTCGCGTCAGAGCCGAAGGCAGAAGAAGGAAAAATATCATTCGACGCGCGATATGTTCGTACCGTGGCGTGGACGGTATATAGGGTAGCGCGCGCGGAAGGATCTATCTCTTCGGTCTCCCAGATAGTCTGGGTGGGTGCTCTTTCCCTGTAGTACGAGGGGTGGGTGGCCTTCGCGCGCTGAAATGGCAAAACACAAGACACGGCGGTGCGGAAGGGGGCGGTGGGGTTGGAGGCCGCCGAAGGTAGAGGAGAGAAGGAGGAGGAGGAGGGGGTAGCGACGGGGTGGGTGAGGGCTGGCGAGGTAGCGACGTCACCACGGAAATCAAGAGTAATGCCAACACGAAACTGCACTACCCCTCGCGCACCCTTACCGACCCCTCCTCGCTCCCGTCTTGCTCTCACACCCCCTGGCACGCCACCCCGTCTGTTTCTCCCGGTTCTTTCACCGTCCCTCCGTTTCTCTCACCCTTTCCCCGCTCACCCGCCCCAGGAGATCCCGCCGACCGACCCACGAGTCTGGTGCGCTTTCTCTCCCGCCTCCATCCAAGTCACCTCTCCGATCTCACCCACCCCCAGGGAATAACCCCCTCGATGGCTCCCGCGGTGAGCGCCGCGCCGCCGACGAACCTCGGTGAGACGGAAACGATAGCGGCTCCCACGAGCACTCGCTGCGACTAAGGCGGAAGGCCGCGCTGCCAGATCCTGAGAATTCTCTTTCGCCCTTTGCCGTTCTTCCTCAGTTTCCCGCGTCACTACCTTTTCCCTATACGGGGACCGCTGTCTTCGTCAACACCAAAGAGAAAGTACAGTTCTATGTAAGAAAGCGTATTTCAAACGATTAAAATCCTATAACTTTTTTCAGAAAAAACTAGCAAAAACACCTCGATCGTGCTGTATACGACATTGTCATCTTACGCTATGCTGGCCACTTATCAGTCTTAGAAGTCGTGAATTCTCTTGTGTGATTTTGACACATGTAACGAACTTGTTCAAAACACAATCTTACGCAATTTAATCATAAAGAACGTTAAGAAATTGTTCTGTTAAAATTTTGACTTTATAATTTTGACTTTATAAATTAGCACTTGCTACCTTGATAAATAATTAAAGTAAATAAATTTTGTATAAGATAAGAGAGCACAGAAAGGGAGAAAGAAAGTTCTATCATTTTTAACTAGAGAATTCCTATGGATATATTAATAGAAATTAATATAAAGCAATTTTAGATTAGATTTTTCTCGCATTAATAAAGCATTATTGGATTAAAAAATTTCAAAATAACTTTTGAACAATCATGTCTATTATAATTTATAAACAAAATTTTTCTGCATAAATATAGGCATCCGGATAAAGAAAAGGGGTTTGACACATAAAATGACTATCGAGTAATATGATTTTTATAAAATTTGACAGGAGGGTAAAGTTTGAACATGTTATAATCAATAAAAATTATAACACGTTGAACATGCTGCAATTCACAAGTACGGAAAACGAAAGTGTATTTTCTGATTTTTTTCTTTAAATCCCACTCTCGCGAAAATGTGGCCATTCGTATGATCGGCTATATCCGTGCAGCTCCCCAGCAGCGCCGCAAAACGTCTTTTAATATACACTATATCTTCGGGGGGCTGTGTGTTTATCCTCATGGTTTTCCAGCGTGCAAAGAAACCGATTTGTGCTTTGATACGAGCTCGTTTCCTCGAATCTGTCGTAAAATTCACCCTACATATCACTATGCAGTATGAACGCGCATTCGCTTGATTTTATCACTCGAAGATAAAGTTGTGTCTGACTAGTAAATTATTAAATTAAATTGTGTCGGAACTGGTAAATTATAAGACTCAATATAAAAGCTTATAAAAAAGAAAAAGAAAGTGAGTGAGTAGGAGAGAGAGAGAGAGAGAGAGAGAGAGAGAAAACAGTTTTCAAGAAAAATATTATATAATTAAAAATTATACACGCTTTATATGTGTGTGTGTGTGTGTGTGTGTGTGTGTGTGTGTGTGTGTGTGTGTGTGTGTGTGTGTGTGTGTGTGTGTGTGTGTGTGCGCGCGCGCGCGCGCGCGTGTGCGTGCGC